TAGTATTAACGTGCGTAAAAATTCGTTAAAAATGACCGCATGTGAAATTACACATTTGCAGTACGTAGTAAAACTATCAACAGGATTTGCACGAAAAGAGCTACAATATTCTCTCCGTGTATACACATCGTTAGATATTCTCAAATTACAGTTTCTTCCTAAAATGCACTCGTCGCGAAATCGTCAGCGAATAAATTGCTCGGAATGACGGAAATCGTCATCAGACCGACGACAATACCGACGGGAAGAACGACGAGCGAGGGCGGTGCGTATATGATCTAATCAATGGGCATAATCAAGCGCGAAGAACGATTCTCTCTTTCGTTTGAATTTCCTGCGTCGCTCTTCCTGCTTCGTCGCGTCGCTAGACCCGACCATTAATAATTCTCTACCTGCACCGGCTCTTAGCACGTCGCGGGGATATTCTCCCCTCGCAGCGACGTTCGTTTCTACAGGTACGTTAAAATCGCGGCTTCTGTGTGCGTAATGCGGTGGACGCGCCTCTTGCTCGGTCGTTGGTTGTCCGACCGACTCTCTTGACTCGATTTCGCGACCGCAAAACTCGGGAAGATATATCTCTTCTCCTCCGTGCGAGAGCTCTCTCTTCTCTCGTTCCGTCCCGCCGTAGGAAATCCTTCCTTCTTGCTCTCCTTTACCGCGACGCGTTGCCTCGAATTCTCCCTCTCTCTCTCTCTCTCTCTGTGGGGGCCACAGGGACCCCGCCAATGGGACAGGGGGATAGCAGACCCTGTCGCGAGGACAACATAAAGATTTAAGACTGAGAGATGCGCCAATAAACATGCTGCTGCACCCTGACTGCAGTCAGCTCGCGCTCTTCTCCGCGCTGCGTTCACCGCGTTCTGCGTTGCTCTGTTCCGTTTCACTCGGTTTCCGTTCTCCGTTCTCCACTCGATTCTGTTCTGTTTGTAACCACCGCATATGCACGCCGTTCGCCGAGCGCTCACGCATATACAGGGTGTCTCACCTTTTGCGATTCCACCATCTTTCGTGCGAAATTTGAAAACGATTTCTTTCCTCTCTCTCTCTCTCTCTTCAGTGACTCTTACTCAAACTCCGATTAAACTGATCGACGATTTAAAATTGTTGCTGTTGGTCTCTCGAGTGTTACCTGTTTCATTCTGCTAACACGGAAAATGGAAATGCTTCACTTTTCGACTGTTGAATGAGTTACTCACAGAACTGGAAATTGATGCTGGGCATTTATATCGTTATACTATGTATAGAGTGACTCTTAAATCACGAACTAAGCTTACGAGGTCATAGAACGGATTGAGATGAAGAAAAAGTCCGATACTGTTTTGCAATTGTCGCAAATAATTAACGAATTATTAATTGATCTGTATGTCTCATTAACTATTGGGAATTAATGAGATATTAATTGATCTGCATGTCTCATCAATTATTGCGATTATCGCAAAATAGGATATGGGATTCTTTTATTCATATCAATCCGTTTTACATCTTCACGCAGCTTTGTCCGTGCTGGGACACCCTCTACATATCCTTGGGGTGACTTTCATTAAATTCCGATTAATGCAATCGACGATTGATTCAGCGTAATTGATCAATTCCAATTAGCTGAACCGATCAATGGTCAATTCCGTTGAGTTAATCGTCGATTAGATTAGTCAGAGCTTGCGACGCATTGATCTCTCTCTTCTTTACATTATAACGAGCTTTACATTATAATGAGCTTTTTTAACTCGAGGGACAAAGATATAGTCGATCAAGAAAGAGAAATCAGTGAAAAACGGAGGAAGGTTTGCATTCAGATACATTCTTCCAGTTTAATTTGCAAGAGTCCTTCTTGAATACATTACCGATCGATTTTCGATAAATCTACCATCGTTTCACGACGGATCGTCGATCGAACGACCGGCCTGATTTCTCGGCCTGTTTTCGTAGACATAAGACAAGTTTTCCCTTCAGATTTCACGATATTAACATCCCAAATTACGCAAAATTACATAAAAGTCCCAAATTAAAGTATGCTATTGCAGGTCATAAAAAGTGAGCGGTACCCGAAGCCTAGCTAAGCTCACCGTCACGTGGTTACGCAACGCGTGTTAACATTGAGACAAATTGATTTTAGATCACCTGATCGTAATCAAGTACTACTAATGGACTAATCCATCTCGATGTTCCGCCATGGATTGTAACGTCCTGAGAGAGTCGGCCTCTCCGGATAACGGAGAGTACACTTGCCAGCTTATCCCTCGTCATTCTCGGCGCTGCACCTTCCATATGTACGGCGGAAATAAAAGCTTTCGGTGTAATAAAAGGGCGATCGTATGCTGCGAAAATAGTAGATCGGGACGGATCGGTCGAGCAAAGGAACAAGGGAGCTTGAACTGGGCTCACTCAGTCGGTGTTACTGACTCTCCTCTGTCTCTTCTTCTCTATCGTTTCTTCTCCCTCTTTCGCTCTCTCTCTCTCTTTCTCTCTCTCTCTCGACTTACTCTTTCTTTCCCTTCGCGCTCACCGCGACTAATTTATTCCTTTCTCCGTCGCTGGCTCCCTTTCTTCCTCGACTTCTTCTTCTTCTTCTTCATTTCTGTCCTTTTGCCCGTTTTCTGCTTCCGCAAACGACAGCCGCTTTATTTATACCCCATCTGTGCATCGCGCGCGCGCGCGCGCGGAACCGAGCGAGGGTGCTTTTACGTTTATTCGCTACTGCCGCTCGCACGAGTGTCGTTACTGTTTATTTCTTGCTTTACATTAACTTTCCTTCGTTCCATCTCTAATGTTACGCTTTTGTAACTTTTCCAGTGAAATGTGGAGAAAGGTCTCGCGCGACGTTTTGTATTTCAGTACTTAAGTACTAATGTATAATAGTGCAATCGAATGATGAAATACACTTACAGAAATTTCACACTAAAAATTACTGAATTTGCAGTGATTAAGTACTGAGAAAACAGTGGAAGTACAGCAGGTAATAAGCATACATACAGGTGATCTGGTAGTTTCAGGATACCTGGCTGCCAGCTAAATGGCCCAGCATCAAGACTGCATTTGCGTCTGTATTCTTTCTTCATTTTCCCTTGTCCCTTTCTTTTTTTATACTACTCTTATTTAATCGTTATCTCAATAAAAAAAATACATACAATCTTTTTACGTGTATAATTTGAAATATATTAACTCTTTGTCGCATACATTTTTCTGTTGAACATATTTTGCGAAATTTTGGTTAAAAAAAATGATAGTTTTTGGGGTCGCTAATGATAAATCTGAAACGAAATAAAAAAAAACCAAATGGCGGATTCAATATGGCAAATTAAAAAAAAAATTAACCGTGACTTGTTTATTTATAAAATTTTACACGTGAGAGTTTTTTAGGCTTCTGAAATCAAACTTGCTCCTTTTCCTCCTTCCTTCCTTCCGCCTCTATTCCTCCTTTCCTCTCATTCTCTTTTTCGGGCACGCACGCATGCACACGCGAGAGAGCAGCGTATATATTTGCTTTACCCTCCTCTTTCGCTCTCACGGCCGCCGCCGTCGACGACGAGAAGCGAAAAGCAGGTGGGGTATGCGAACGTAGTATCGCGCGATACTATGTTATGCCTGCGGATCGCGGGCCTGACATACTTTGTATGTTAATGCCACATAATGTCGGTTTTGTTCCTCTTTTCAGCATTTATTTGTTCGACGCTTCTCCTCCTCCTCCCTCGCTTTTGTCGCGAGCGTGCGCGCTGCGATGTATTCGTGCCGCGCATGCTCGCGCGTGTACATCATACGGTTTGTCTAATAAGAGCGCGTGACCGGCGTAACTTTTAAATTACATTACATCCGTGAAGTGAAGTTACATAACATCGATAGTAATGAGATATAACATTCGTTATGTTACATATTACCGCTATGTTACATAGCGATTATATTAATAGGGCGCAACATCCGTTATATTGCGTGCTACTTCGATGTTATACACCAGTCATATTCTGTGTTCGCCGGAAACTAACGCAAACGTGTAACGTGTGCGTTATATTACGTTTCGTTACATTACAGCAAGGTAACCGTTATATTACTGTGCGTTCGCTGGGATGGGAACGCTCGTTTCTACTACAAACAAATTTCTCGAGCGCTTCCATCCGACTCATTGTAAACTTTCCCGATCGCTTCCCTTCTTGACTAACGGACAAGCGTGGACGAAACCTGCATCAAATTTTTCACTAATGTTATTTTCGCGGGTTTATGTCGTTTTACGTTCGCTGAATCCGCGCTAGCGGAGGGAAGAAACGGGGAGAAAAGGAGAGCGAGAAGCGACGTTTACGCGATTCTCCAGTCGCTCGAAGGTCCCCCATCTCTCATCGCTTCGTTGTCTCTCCCCCAACACGTGTACGTACGCCCATGTGTATGCGTGTGTGTGTGTGTGTGCACGCGCGCGCCACGCAGTGCGGCTCAACGCAAAAGGGCTGCCTGAAGCGGGAGGAGAGAACCCTGGAGTAGCAGAATGCGCGGGAAAGGGAAAGATCCGAGAAGGCAGCAGCAGGCAGTAAGGCAAAGGGGATAAAACGAAGCACATATCGAGGCCGGCCTACGACGCCGACAGCGACGCCGAGGACACACACGCGCACGCAAAACGAAGAATTCTTCTACAGTGTCACCGCCGCCCTACAGGGCTCCCGATCGGCTGTTGCTAGCAAGGGCCGCGAGCCGCTCCGAAAAGGACCAAACGGCAGGACTGGCTCTCTCATCTGCACTATATGCTAAATTATCTGTCTTTACGGCGAAATAAATATATTATAAGTGATAAGAAACAAAGTATACAACAAGTATTAGGAGTACCTCCGCAAGTAATAATCGAGTATTACAAAATGAAACACTTAAACGTCTACGGACAAAGACTTAATTTTAATCAGTAATATATCAAGTTGAATTCATCCTTACCTAAATTCAGAACACTAAAAAAGTACTGTTTATGTACAGTTTAAATAGAAACTAATAAAAATAAAAATCTTGTAAATATTTAAATTACTTATAGGAACTCCTAATATGTTATCTCCTAATATAAATATAATACCGTTTCGAACACAAAACCATCTTATCTTCGTAACGTGTCGTTAAAACTGGAACGTTTTCAAGATCACGCGAGGGTATCGATGAGAGCTACGTTATGAACATCCTGTTTCTAACGCGGTGTCGATCGTTACGATCGTTCATACCCAACGCTACTCAATCTCTTTTCGCATCGCTTTTGCAGCTTCACGTTTACCCCCTTTACGTTACCATCTACTAACGAAAATTTACGCGCACATCTCGAATTGTATTTTACGATATATATTTAGAAAATGTGGCGCATCGCGAAGTTCTATTGATTGTTCTATCGATTGTTCGCTTTGTCGTGTGAAAACCAAGCAAAATAATTGTGAGCTATAAACCATTTCGTATTTGTGATTGAGAAGATGTAATTTATTTCCCAAGCGGTACAAACATAAATTTATAAAAAAATTGCCACTTGTCTTACTTATCAAAAGTATCCGTTATTATCCGGTACTATCTATATTCTCGCTGTAAAAATCTACAAATTTTACGAAATTTCGTCATTCCAATAATTCACTAGGACAAAAACGAGAAGCGTAATATGTAGAATCGTAAAGTTCATGGGAACACTTATGCGATAAAATACATTCAGTGTTAATAATAATTAAAAAAAAATGCATTACGCTTCTTTACAAACCTCTCTTAGTGCGGAATTAATGCAAAAAGCAATCGTGAAAAAGTATCCTATAATAATATGCTATGTGTGTATATATTAAATCCCTCACCGATAAATATGAATAATTAAAAAGCACTTGATTTAGCAGCACTATCGGCGTTAAGGTTCGGCATTTAACTTATTAACAAACAGTAAGTATCCTTTTGATGATAAGATACCGCGGCACTTGAGATGAATCTGATATCTGGTCAACCAGTGTAAACGAGCGGTGTTGCCAAAAATCTCCTCCACCATTTCTTGAGGAAGTATTTCTGTAATAAGTGGAAATGCAAAATGGTAATTATATTTTACAAATGACTGTTTCTCAATTACTCAAGTACTCACGACACGGATCACTGTGTGTCAGCAATTGAATATCATTCTCCTTGGTAAATGCCTGCAAGGCTGGTGGAACGACACAACATGTGGCTAAGTTAATTTGGACAATGTTTGGTTTTATCTAAAAACACACAGGCAGATATTACAATTTTCACATATATTCAAATAAATCACAAATATCATATTTTTAAATAATCCGTCCTCACATTGGCCCATTGGAACAGTTCAATGAATGTATTTGTATTAATGTCGCTTAAACCAACGCTGGACAGCTTGTTAGCTCTCACATATTCCTCTACCACAAACCATATGCGTTTCAATGACAACAGCGTATCCTCCGGTTTTTCATCGCCTTTGTAAGCTATCACTAAAGATTCTATAGTATCTGTATTGAGTGCTTTAAATGCTGCAATAAAACGTAACATTATTAGAAATACACATAATCACATTATTGCGGCAATTAATATACCTTGGTCTAACGCTTGCTTCAATGAATCTTCATCGGGCGAGGGGATAAATACTTTTATGGCGATCTTCAAGTCTTTCCTATCGACATCCTGCAAACCTATGTCTTCCTTCCCATTGATCTACGATTTGCGATTAATAAAAAAAATCCCTCAGATACAAAAATACCTCCTAATTACACGACCCACTAAACTATATACGTACGATTGTTTGACCGTCCCCCTTGCCTTGCTCGTCATTTAAGATAATTTTCAATGCCTCGATCAACTGAAAGAAATCAACCAAGTGTGTCAATCTCATCAAAGGAGGGGCGCGGGTTTGAAAAAAGAAAAAAAAAAGCGTCACGAGCTGTCACGACATAACCTCAAGATGACAAATCAATCGGCCGTATCACGATAAGTGTACCGTTACGATGACAGTCACGTTGTACTTATTGTTTCGTGCTTCCAGGAATGTAAATATTAATTATACATCCGAACCGACCTCGTCCGTAGAATTTTGGCTCGCCTTCTTCTTCGCCTCGCTGAGAGAGAGTATGTTCCCGGTGTTGATCAGTAAAACGTGCGAGACCATGTTTGACGAGCAATAATGATTTCTTTCGCAGCAAGGTTGCGTGCGTCTCTTGATTCGTCCTGTTTGATTCGGCGCGGCCGCGCGTATTTATACGCTCGCGAGCGAAAAAAACGCACCTTAACAAACGTGATTCTCCCTTTTTTGTCGAAAGAAGAGAAAAAAAATTGAAAGCACCGCACGAGAAAGAAAATTCTCGAACAATTTGTCACGGTTAATCATGTAAGTGCACGATGGATTAGATTTCGCGTATTCAAGTGGTCTCATTTGCCGATTACATCAGCTTACATCACACTTGTAGATATTAGATAAAGAGAGCAGTCGTTTCCGTCGTTGACAAATGCAAGAAATAGCAATTCGACGCGAGTTACGCGAATGTTGGCGTAACAAATTTTCGATATGATCGATGAATACTTATCGCCGTCGTGAAGCGCGCTGAATTCCATGTCTGATTTAAAGTCGCGGTATTGAGAATATTAAAATCTATATTGCAAATATTTGGCGCGGTTAAGTTACGCAAGATATCAGAGCGTAAACGATCATTTTTCAAATAACAGATATTATCAAATTTGAAAATAAAAGGTAAAGTGAAACAATCATTCCGCAGTTTTCCCATGACCGACACGTTCGCATAGAATGTTCCTCCAAAATTGCACGCAAAAAATAAGCCATTATTCTTTCGATTCTGCAAGACTGTCAGTGTGTAATTATATAATTAAAGATCCATTGTTTTATGCAAACCGTAAATCAGTAAGTCGTGCTAGAACCGTAAGAAACCGATTGCAATCCAATGTAAAAGGAACAGTCGATTGCGATGGGTCAATTTCTTACGATTTCGACATAAGTTAACGGTTTACGATCTCCATAAATTATCCTTTATACATTTTAGGATAGCTTTCGTCGGCTAAAACTGATATTACATGCGTCGACGTATTTGTCGGATGTGCCGATTGGCTATTGTTGGACAGAGAATTTCAAGGGTCCCTAAATTTTTCTCTATCTGATCTCCAATTGGCATAGCCGATAAATTCGTCGTACGACGCATGTAATGGCTTCTGTCCACAGGCTGCGTGGCAAGAAGAGACGAGGTAGCCAATCAACGTGCCGTCTTTCCACGAGAACTGAAAGGTTATTGGCTACCACTTCTTGCCGCGCGGCAAGCATTCCGCGCTCTACATGCAGAAAGCATAATACCAGCCTAAAGCCTATATTAGACTATGGATTAGGATTGAGGTTGCCCAAGCGACATAACTTGCGTAAGCATAACTTGCGTCAGCCAATCAAATTCGCCGTGGTAATTGGTAATTGGGTAATTAAGACGATTTGATTGGCTGACGTTGCGCTACGCAGTTACGCAACATGTGAAAGCACCTTGAGATTGAATTAAAATTTGACCAATCAGAGCAAGACTCACTAAATTTGAGTTTAGCGAACTTTACTCTGATTGGTTAAATTCCAATCTCAATCTTAATCCGTAGTCTGATACGGGCATAATGGCTCACGCTTGCCACACTGCGGCAGTTCACGTGGTGACAACCAATAAACTTCTAGTTCTCACGCAAAAATGGTACGTTGATTGGCTGAACAGCGAAAACAAATCGCGAACTAAAATTACTAGAAACTTCGTTACGCATGTTATTATCGCATGTTGTATCTTATCGTAAATTACATCACCTCTCGTACAATGTACGAAGAATGCGCGAGCTTTTCATTTATTACATAACACTTCGCGTTGCACAATGACGATTCGTCCTTAAGATTACGGCACGAAAAAATGGGGAGAAGCTTTCTCAACGAGTTCGCCGTATCGGCACGCTCGCGTGATTCGTAACGTTTGGAAAGTTACTCGATATCTTGATTATCATTTTATGGCCGACGGTAGACTATCGGTGGACTCCGCACGGCACGTCGATCGTTCTGAGGTCGGGGCGCGGAATTGAACGATTAATTGAACTATTAAGAATGCCGATCGATATTCCTGCGTTCGCCTATGCCGCCGCGGTGGCCGGCGGTGGGATATTAGGTTACGTGAAATCCAGTGAGTTTAACATCGAATCGTATCCGTAATCAAGTTTCTGACTTCACGCGTATACATAGCGTCAGTTGCAAGAGCTCGCGTTAATCCTCACGCAGGATTACGTTATTAGCAGTGCACGAATCTCTGTTAATTGTACTTATGTTTTGGTCTATTCGCACGGTGTTCACGCAGTGTTTCATATTTTCCAGATTCTATCCCTTCCCTGGGGGCTGGTCTACTGTTTGGATCTATCTTGGGCTACGGGGCTTATCAGACTTCGCAGGATCCCACTAATGTTGCAGTTTTCCTGGGAACCAGTACAGCTCTAGGAGGTCTGATGGGATATCGGTATTACAATTCGGGCAAGATAATGCCAGCCGGCATCATTGCCATGCTAAGGTATTCTGTTGTTGCTTGTGTCGTGTGCTTTTATAAATGAATATCAATATATATACATATATATACATTAGTGTAATGTATTGAAATATGCAAATTATTTTCAGCGCCGTTATGATCGTAAGGACAGTCACACGATACTTCTCGCCACCATTGAAGACAGAGTGACGAGTTGATTACTTGAATGTTAAAAGTACTGCATTTATTAATGTCAATGTCAACTCTTTAATGTAAAGTAGCGCAATGCAAGAGATTGTGGGAATCGGTCGGGGATATTTGAAGAAGTACAATTATAAATATTGTATCGAGTGCAGAAAAATATTTTGTAAGTTATTAAGTTTCTGTTTAAAATAAAATCTAAAGAAAGTCAGTAAAGTGTGATATATAGTGCGTTATCGTTTATTTCAATCGGGGGTATGTACAATCGTTGAACTATATGACATACCGGAAGGAACATCGGCGTGGCGGGTAATTTTTAAGGCTCCAGAGTAAATGACGCGCCGTATTGAATTCATGACGTCATAGGCGAGAAATGACACGTTGAGAAATATTGCTCGCCACTTGCAAATAAAAAGATATTTGGATAAAACAACACTTGTGATCGCTCGAAGACATTTGTGAAAATCGACGTAAACTCTCCCTTTCCCTCCTGACAGTCGATAAATAGTCATAGAAGGTGCGCGGAATGAGGCCTTATTCACGTAGAAAAACACGGTTTTGCAGGCCGATAAAAAGGGAACACACCTTCATTGATAGATTTAGTGACACACTAGATATTAATCTGCCAGAACGCATTTCCAGTATGTTACCAGATCTATCAAGGAAACAAGCTTCGTCTGATGCGGACTTTACGTTTTTCCATGTGTGGAGGCCTTTATCTTAACCAAAAATTTTGGGTTTGTTTCCTTTTTACCTTTTCTTTCTTGAGATTTCATGGGAAAGAGAGGAGAAGAGAGCTAGTGTAAGCTAGCGCAGCGATAGAAAGTAGATAGTTTTTAATACAGCTGAATGTTCAGATGAATATTTTCGGTTACAGTAACAGATACAATTTTTTGTTCGTGTATCGCCTTGTTTCAGTCACATGACTAAGATTTATTCTATATAATAGTGATTAGCCAAATAGCGCGCGCCTGTATTCCAGTTTGTGTAAAATTGAATAACTCTTTTTCAGGTAACCTCACAATAGCAGGTTTTTGTAATACAAATATCATCTCGCGCGGGGAAACATGGAATCGCGTGAAAGTAATCATGCAGCTTTGAATGCATACGCGATTTTAAAATCATGTGCTTCAACAAGTAACGAAGGTACATGTAACAATATCCTAGGCTGCACCGAAATTACTTTGGATGCTGCACCTTTTGTTCGAAATATTTTGACGATTTTTTTTGGATCACAATACCACACAGCACGATTTTTGTTGCCAACTTTTCAACGGTTACTAATGGTTAAATAACAAAGACTGGCAAGGAGTTGATTTGTTAATTACATTAAATAGATTCAACTGCATCATAATTGCAGTGTAGGAATCGGTCGAACGATAGTAATAACAGTCACTTTGAATTTAGCTGAAACATTGCGAAACCTTCAAGAGGAGAAGCATGCAAAATTAACGATCGGAGCATTTTTCGAATTTATGAGAACTGCGTATCAAGTTAATGATAGTTTCGAAGGTGTGGCTACCATATTAAGCGCAAATAGCGAAATTGACTGGCACGAGTTAGCAAAGATTAATTTAGGTCTTGAAGCGTTTCAAGATGATAGAATGTGCAGTAACAATTGTGATGTGAATGATACACGAGAAAAACAAAACAAATACGATGCTCTTATACAAGATTTATCACAGCAAATGATAAATAACCAATTGGCAAGTCCATGCACATCCGGGAGCATAATAAACTCACAATTTTCTACATCTGCGACATCTGATAGTACCAATATCTGTGAGACATCTGATAAAGATGATTGTACTCAAAGATCTAATGAAATAAAAGATTCCTCTAACGAATGCTTGAGAAAGGAGGATAGTATTGGAGAGAGGAAACTATTGTCAAAGAGTCAAGTTGACAATGGAGAGGAGAAGATTTCACCAGCCAAAGAGTATGCGGAAGAAAGTGAATATGGTTTGGCGAGAGTCGTGAAGGAAAATCTGAGGGATATTTTGCACGAGGGACTGTTGGATTCCGTGCTGCCATACATGCTCCCGAAGTCTTCGCTGTCGCAGCCTGTTATCAAAAAGACTACCGCTATTGTGGATCTTATGAAAAGTGCTTCAGCGAGTAATATAGTTGAGAATAAATCGGCAGCTTTGACTCATAAAGAGACTCATAAAGAGAAGGATAAAGAGAAGCATAAGATAAATAAAAAGCTGTTGGAGTGAGTGTTTTCAAGAAATCATAATAGTATATTTATTAATAATAAAAAACATAATAATGACGCTTTATCATTATTCCTATCATGTTTCAGGAACGAAGTGGAGATTCATGTGTGCGATGAGGATAAAAATATCAGGAAGAACTTCCGATGTCCGCAGAAGCTCCTCGTGCAGAAAATGTGTTATTTTGCTGATGTAACGGCGGGACAGAAACTCGATGAAATCGACATATCGGTACATTGTGACGTTGTTATCTTCGATTGGCTAATAAGATGGGTGAAGAAAGATATCATAAAAAAATCCGAGTGGCCGGTTTTGGAGGCCAGTAATGTCATTCCAATTATGGTATCCGCTTGTTTCTTGCAAATGGAGCCACTTTTGGAGAATTGCCTTCAATATTGTCACGACTATATGTCAGACATTTTGAAGACATCGACGATCTTAACGTGTTTAGACGATAATCTTCTTACAAGGTGCGTACACCATAGTTTTATTCCATGCAGTTTCGTCTTCGTAAAATTCTTTATTATAGTAATGAGCAGCTGAAACTGCCAGCTCACTGTTGTCTTACTGGATATCGTTATTATCGAGCAGATTAGCTGAATTATTTACTAACGAGGACGTCGAAATGTTAAAGGACAAAAAGGACAAAATTCAAAGCCGTTTATTTTGTAAATTGATCATGTCGCTAGTGGAAGTCACCCCGGACAGTAGAAAGGGTCATTACAGTTCACTGGCTATGCTATTTAAATGTGGCAAGTGTAGCAGGAACGTCGTGCAGTCGATCTCCGATTCTGTTCCTTGCATCCCGAGTGCAACGAAGATCGATAACAAGGGTGCCGTTCACAGCAAGCATGTGAGGTATTGTGCAAAATATATAATATAAATTGCATAAATATAATATAAATTATACATAAATATTTAATATAACACGAATATACATACACATGCGAGTATGTATTTTTATGTAAATTATTTATAATGTAATATGATAAATATTTAATATAACTTGAGTATTATATACTTGAAAGATACACGGGAGGTATATGTCGACTTGTCACTCCGCAGAGATTTGACTTGGACACTGAACGAGTACATCGTTAGTCTACGATCGGAATTACGTTCTTGGCGCAAGGTCTACTGGCGATTATGGGGTGATTGCCATTTCTTGTTCTGCCAACAATGCAACGTATATTTCCCGATATATCAGATCGATTGGTGCTGCTATCATCCGGAACCTGCACAGTTCTTCGTAAACGAACAACAAAGATCTACGCCCTTTCCGTTAGGAAGATATCCGTGTTGCAGTCAACGTGCTTATAGATTTGAAACGCTGCCAAATCAAGGGGGATGCAGGTACAAAGTTGGTATCAAGATTATGTACAAAATTATCATGTTATAAAACAGAGCTCTCGCTTGTACATATATATATAATTAAATTTCATATATCACTAAAAAAGAGAAAAAAAATAGGGATACGTAAGCGTGGCGTATTAAAGAATATCGTGCAGCCATGACTCATCTGTAATCTTGTGTTTGTGTGTTTTTACCCTCCTTACTTTTGCTTCTTTAGGAACATGTACCGGACGTAAGGAGCGAAAAGGAATTAAATGTGTTGAACATCTTGACGGCGCACAGAGAAGTAATAGCCATCGAGTCCCCTCAGCTCTTCTTCCCGGAAAAGATCACGCGACTGGTGACTCGCGATCCGTCCCTCCGCCCAGGCAAACTGGTGTGCAAGGATGTGATGTGGTGGAACGGTATTGAACTTGTGCCACAGAGACCAAAACTCGGTCTACTCGGTGAGAGTTATTGCCCTCACGCGATATGTATGGTACTTAAGTTAGCTGACTCCTGACAATACTGATGGAAAGATAACGGTTCGAGTGTAACAAGTTCAAAGTTTTCTGCAACATTTAGTAACATCGATATCCATGGGACCATCTGATAAGGATAATTCTATGCAAAAACCTAATACAAAATTCTCCCGACAAATGTTTGAAAAGACTGAGAATAATATTAAAAAGTGGGGAACAATTGTCGGCAAAGTCAAATTAGCGATGAAGGAGAAAAGATTTCAGGCCCCCTCTCGTACGAAAAGAACGATTCGACGTCATGACGCCGGAATGATTTCCTGCGAATAGGAAGGATTTGGGGTGGCTCGGGATTCCGTCGATTGCTCCAGCCGCAAGACTCACAGAGGTCTTTACAGAGATTTCGCAGACAAATTTCCGTGGCCACCGATCTCTCGTCCCCCGCTTCGTCGGTCACGGACAGCGAGGACGACGACGAAGGGACCGCGTGCGAGGACAGTAGCGCGGACGAGGAGTCTTATTACAGCGAGGAGTCGAACGCTCTGTCCGCGTTACAGAGCGCGACGAGAAAGGCGAAGCATCCGCACAGCCGCAAGTAAACGAAGTCGATGAATTATGAGGTAGATTTCGTTTAGATCTGCGCACGGTTTATCTCGAACGCGTGTTTTCATCGTCGTTCAGGAGCAACGGTAGATGTTGGAGCGGCAATCTGAACGTGAGACACAACCAGGACAATCAGAGAGATTTCGAAGAGAGAGCCGCGGCGCAGATGACGGCACTTCTGACGAAAAGAACGCTCACGGAGGGCACGCTCGTGAGAACTTACAGTAAACAGCATCACAAAATCAAGCAACCGATAGGTAAGTTCCTCTACGTGAAATAGTGCGCGCAATGGTTTTCGAGGTAAAGCTCCCGGATATCTAAATATTCCAAGATTGCTCAATTTTTACACGAACACACACATTACATAATCACTGTAATATTCGGGCTGAGATATCGAAATCTCATTGTCGAACAAAAGATACAAATAGTTTCTGCACGCGCACGCATTATTTCAGGAATGAATACGATTTTTTTCCTTTACAATGATAACACTAATATCCGAGCAAGCCGAAATGTTGTTTCGATTATTTAATTTCGCTTTCTAATGTCCACGTACGATTGTCACACAAATATTGCATAAGTACGTATACATATAAATTATTTATTGATTATTTATAATTATAATTCGTAAAAATCGCTCTTCTTAATTTCTCCTCGTAAAGAAACCGAAAAAATCCGTTCATCCAATTTTTTCATTCGTTCTCCGGAAAAAAATGAAAAGAAAAAAAACGGCTTTACAACTATATTTGTTATAATTTTGCAGTCATGATTGTAATTTGTTTTAACTTGCCAATGATTTAGTTGTGAGATTGTAACGCGATAAAATTTTGTTACAAGATCGTGTACGCACATTGGTATAAATAATTGCGCACGTAAAAGTTGGAGAAGTTAAAAGTCAATATTACGATCAGGGACCGGACCGGAACCGTAAACCGAAATTTTATAAAGCCTGTAGAACCGAAATCGGAACTGTTAAATTTTTTTCGGTTTTTCGATTCATTATTTCGGTTCTTATTTTGTGATTTAAAATAGTCGTTTTTTCCAATTCATAATAAAATTCTAATTCTCATGGAAAAACAGCATACTGTTTGGTCATCGCAATAAATAGAAAATAAACTTCTAGCATACGATATTGAACAAAAGAGGATTGATAGAAGGATATATTACAATTTTAGGATGAATAGAAAGACAATCATCCTGAATTGTACAAATTATTCTAACGGAACATGTATAGTTTTTTATATGGAACGTGTTAGTTTTAAGAATGTTCGAAGAATATCGAGATATTCTCCGAATATTCTCAGAATCTACATAATTACATGTTCCGTTAGGGAGAAGTTACAAGTAAGGAGGATAATATTATATATCCAAAAAAATTAACACATTGACAGCCGGCCCCGCGTTTTCGCGGGGCCGGCTGTCAATGTGTTAAGAGCAGAAGAAATAATGAAGAAATGCCATCTACATCGAGCAAGTGATATTATTATTTTTTATAATATATTATTGTACACGTTGTATATATACATACGTATATATATATATATATATATTTTTTTTTTAAGAAAAAAAGTTTTGAACAAAAGTATGGTTTGGGGGAGGACGTAAGATGGTATCATTGCTTTGACCTTTGATAGTCTTTTGAAGATCACCTTCAATTTTTTAAACGGAAATTCCTACTTTCTATCGCATGTTCTTGTAGCTTACCTTGAGAGCTTTTCAAAACACTATTACAAAATATTTTTGCATTAAGTATTTCTCGAGTTATAAAGCTTGAAAGTTACAATACCGTCGACGTTAACACTACTCAAGATATACAGCAGAGAAGGTTTAGAGTCAGAAAATACTACGGGAGTGACGAATCGTGGGATCCCTTATACCTACCTTGGGTAATACTAACGTCAGCGGTACTGCAACTTTCAAGCTTTATAACTCGAAAAATACTTAATGCAACAATATTTTATGATAGTGTTTTGAAAAGCTCTCAAAGTAAGCTACAAGAACATGCAATAGAAAGTAGGAGTTTCTATTTAAGAAATTGAAGGTGACCTTCATGTGGCCTTCAAAAAACTATCAAAGGTCAAACCAGCGACACCATCTTATGTTCTCCTCCAAATCATAAAACTTTTATTCGAAACATTTTTTTCTTAAATGCTTTCCTAAAAAGATAATGTAGTGGAAACTTTAAAATGAGACATTCGGTATAATTTAATTCAATAAAGAAACAAGTTTTAAGAACAGGAACCGAAAAAAACCATAATTTAAACGGTACTTTCATTGTCGTAAAAACCGTAACCGAAACTGGAACCTTTATTAAATATTTTAGTAGATCGAAACCTATATTTAATATGTTAGTAGACCGGAATCGAACCGATATTTTCATTCAGTCCGGGTCCCTGATTATAATACAAATAGAGATGAGTAATTTGAAATATCTGAAATTAATAATGAGTTTCCATATACGTCTCGATATAGGAATACGTCCGGTAATCGATCGGCACTTTTTTACCTTACTGGGATGACTTTTTTCATATCGAATCGAACGGTACATCAATTCTTAAATATTTATTATAAAAGAAAATAAATGACATTTTGTACTTCATACAGGTGGAACATACATAAAACTAGAGGCTGAATTTCGTGAACAGTTAGCGCAATCTTCGAGATATAAGAACCCCTTGACTGGCAAGACCCGTATGAAATCACACAAGTCATAATCTATAATTTAAATGCAGATTGTACTATCTTTTCTCCTTTTCCCCACATATGTATATGTATCATATATCTTATTGGAATGATTCATTTCAATACATGTGAAGAACATGAAAATTATCTATACTGGGAATTACCTATATATAATTATGTTCTTATAAAGAGCAAACAACTGTTAGGTTGCTACGCAAATAATTTCACACACATTAACAACATACCAGAGAAAAAATTATGTAAATTTGCGTCATAAATAAGAAATTGAATAAGAAAAAAATAAATAATGATATAAAATTAGAACTCTCATACACACATTACTGCGTTTGTAAAACGATATACAGGGTGTCCCTAATTTAATTAATTAATAATTTAAATATTAAGCATTGTTTGCAATATGATAGAGAACTTTTTTATTCACCCCAATTCGTTCTATGCCCTCGTGAAATTTGTCCCTGTTGATCTGGGGCATCCTGTATACGATCACATTATATCATTTCAAGCGATACTCATTGTTGGGTCTTACATATTTACTTAGCGTCATTTGCGGCATACCCATTTCTCGCGTAGAGCTCAACATGATTAAAAATTGTCAATTATACTTAGTACGTTTTGTATATATACTGGATATCTGAAACTTTCCCGCTAAGCGCTCGTGTGAGAACAGATTAAGCTGTACATAAAAATTACATTCCAATTGCCAATTCTCAATTGCAATTATTTGCCAGTTTCACAATAGTTAGTGAGTAATTAATTCATTTGAGCGAATTAACACGGGAAGCAGTGAGACGGACTCTGTTTCATATACAAAGAAAGATGGCTTTGAGTTAGTAAGAAAAATAACTACTAATAGAACTATTGCTAAATTTGCAGAGTTATGCATAACTTTTCCGCTCAGCTTAATCCGTTCTACCTTATATAAATATAAGGTATAATATAACATAGGCAACAGCGATAATTTTTCTTTTCATCCCTCTGCATCAATAAATCAAGTTTAATTTACATGGTCACATAAAAAAAAAAAAATACCAAGAGATCTGTGAAGTAAATGAGATGAACTGTAGCGGAACAACGTATTCAAATTAATGTCTTAAATTCATCTTCAGATGCCCCGCCAATGAAACGATCCTTATAACGATTAAAACGTCTGAAGATAAACTTAAGATGGTAACGTTAAATACAAAACCCAATTACAGGTAGGATCGATCAGACGCTTCATGAATATTCTAGCAATATGACTTAAACTGCATAAAGAAGTATTTGTAACATTAAGCGAACTGCATTTTATAAATACTGCTTTTATTTCATCAGATGTGAATGAAAAAAATTTTTGTATCTTCTACGGATCTGACAAATTACACGCAGTGTCTTGATGGCCGGTCAAGTCGCTTCTATCTAACAATTGATTCAGCTCCACCTCTGTGAAAACTACAAGAACAATCGACTCTTTTATTCGCAGTAATTTCTTATGTATATATTATTCATAAATATATTGTACAAGTGATAAGATCTTACCTTCCTTCTCAGATGTAACAATTTTATACTCCTTGGACTTCAACAATTGTTTCAGCTCTAACAGCCTATTTCTGTTTAGTTCTTCATTCCAATTTTTCGAAATAACAATTTTCTCTAAAATGCGCTTGCTCTCAGAACGCTTCATAATCGCCTCATCAATCGTCCCTTTGGTGCACAGTTTATAGATAACCACAGGTTGCGTTTGTCCTATCCTGTGACATCGCGCCATAGCTTGTATGTCCACTTGCGGGTTCTGTAATCGTTGAAGAAATGTTTACTCAAGGAACGTGTATGAATAAAACATTAATACTAGGGAAAACACGAAAATATCAGATTAATTCGACTCACCCAATCGCTGTCGTATATAATGACGGTATCGGCAGCTGCTAGATTCAATCCAACTCCGCCAGCTCTAGTCGATATAAGGAACAGAAACACATCTTTATTATTATTAAAAGTATCGATGTATTCCTTTCTCAGTTCGATATCAGTAGAACCGTCTAATCTGACATATTTATAATCTCGCAACGAGAGATAATCTTCGATCACATTTAATATCATGACCATCGTCGAGAATAAGAGAACTTTGTGTTTCTGTGCTTTAAGTTTTCCCAGCATTGCATCTAACACTAAAAGTTTGCCGGAGGATTTGACCAAATCTTCATCAATCTTCGGTAAACCAGCTGAATCCAACGGACAATGAACCAAATACGGATGATTTACGATTTTTTTATACATAACCACTGAAATAATAAATAATATATGAAAACGATAAAGCAATATTGAGTATAGATTGGATCATGTGAATAAGCGCGGACGCTATAATAATGTAGGAATACTTGCTTCTATTTTGGAATTGTATGTTGATGAAAAAATCATGATTACGTTCTGTGACATTGGTATATTGTTTCCATATTGACAGATTTTGCTCAATCTTAGCATCTCTTGCCGTACATTTGTTGTTGTTATAAGAGATATCTGTAAACATAGCATCCACTGACGATCCACTTTCATCTGCGTTTTCAGAATCCTTCTTGAGAGATCCGTATTTACTAGTGAGAACGCATCGTCTTTTAAGCCTTTTGCCATTTACTGTCGGCAGAATTAATTCTGGTTCCTTAATTTTACGTAATGTTTGTATGTCACGATTTAAAACTGCCTGGTATAAATCGTGTTGCAACTGCGTGAGCGGTGCGTAAACGACCAATTCCTTCTTAGGGGGAACTTCCAGACAAACTTCGGATTTTAGGCGTCTTAACATGAACGGTTTTAAAATTTCACGTAACGACGATAATATACGCTTCTCTTCTTCCTGTCTCAAAATCTTTTCGGTATTTTCCTGCTGTTCCAACTGTTCGACATCAAACCACGATTCAAACACAGCCAAATCGTCAAAAATTTCTGGCAAAAGGAAGTTTAAAAGAGACCACAGTTCAGACAGATTGTTCTGAAGCGGAGTTCCAGTCAGCAGTAGTCTATTCATAGATTTTACCGTTTTCAAAGCTCTAAAAATTAAAAATGTATGTCAATTCTAGAAAACACATTCCTATGATACAATATATGTAGCCATATAATTACGAATTATTTTTTAAATAAGACATTTTCCATAACATCTATCAAATAAAATATTTAAGTGATTATTAATGGATTTTTTATTATCAAATTTAACAGTGACTTTAGAAACAACAGAGATGTAACTATAATACTCATTTTCTGTAAAATATGTCTTATTTTGAAAATAATTGTCACGGTCAACAACTTATTTTTAATAAGCGCAACAAGCTTTCGATAATAACATACTTAATTAATAAGCAATTATAATTCTTGATTCTATGTCCCTCGTCTATCACAATATATCTCCATGTCTGAGACTGAAGGAATTTAATATCCTTCAATGGCATTTCAAAAGTAGTGATTACAACAGGCTGCGTTTTATAATCACTCGTAATATTATATTTCTTTTTAATTTTAGGATATGTAATAGATCGTTCCTCTTTTGAGCCATATAATAGCACAACTGGTATATCAGGAGCGAATCTTTCAAACTCCAACATCCAATTTGGTATAGTCGAAAGAGGTGCAATTATTAAATAAGGTCCAGCCTGTTGTTTTTCTATAAGATGGCATAACAAGGCTATCACTTGTATCGTCTTTCCAAGGCCCATTTCATCAGCTAGAATTCCATTCAATCCATTCTCATAAAGTACCTTCAGCCATTGTAAGCCATCTTGCTGATAATCACGTAATTTCCCAACAAAATATTTCGATACAATAACAACAGCATTCAGAGATTCTTTCTCCTCAACATCTAATTCCTCTTGTAATTCTGCTTCTATTTCTTCCGTACTTAGATTCAATTTCCTCTTCTTTTTAGTTTCTATTTGCATTTGTACCTATCATAAGTGTAATATTAATCCCTTACAAAGAATTTGATCATTTAATAAAAATTAAATTAGTTACTATACTTTGTTCATCATATAAGAATTATGACAAAAATTTGATTTTTTGTTACTTACATCCACAGGTATATATTTTCTTATGTCATATTTTTCTAAATTGGCTCTTTTATTTTCCTTCTTTGATGGTGCTTTATTTTCTTTGTTAATATTACTTTTATTCATCTTCTTACTGTTTTTTTCCTTTTCAACAGATTTCTCAATTTTGGTTAGAATATAAGATGAATAAAATTGGCTTTTGCTCAACAAGTGCATGAGTGCCTTATATTTCTGTTCATCCATTTCCTTCTTATGTTGTTCTTCCATAAGACTTTTTTTCTCCAAATTAATTTTACTATACTGTCTTTTTCTTGAATTTGGCTTTTTTTCTTCTGTTAATGGTATATTACTAAACTTTACATCATTGGCAATTGATGTATCTTTAAAAAGAAAAAATTAAATACATCAGACAATACATAGAAAATATTTCAAAACTATTTTTCAAACTTATCCCTTGTGAGTAAACTTCTATATGCCAATATATTAAAAGAAAATAAACCAGATATTGTTTTGTTCTACATACAAATTTTTTTAAGCATAATAAGAAATACTACATATAAATGTTTTATATAAAAATATTTTTATTTTATATTGAAAAAAAAAACATTGCCGATCAGACACACTATTAATTTTTCATTGATCATAAAACATTACCATTTTAAACATTGTTTAATGGCAAACATTGCTAAATGGCTCAATGTCTATGCTAATAGTGCTCATTGTGTTATGTCTAAATCGTATCACGTGGTATTATGGTTTATTATTATGGTTTATTATGGTTTATTATGGTTTATGTCTAAATCGTATCACATGGTGGCTGAGCACAAATTCGACGTTTTCTGACGAAAGAATAAGACAAAAAGGATAAAAGATATAAAAACTAACGCTTCATTGCTGTAACGTTTTAGCTCTCCCAAGAATCACAATTTTTTTATTAATAAATAATTATTAACTTACTTGTAATGAACGATGAACGATTTTCAGATCCGGAATCAGAATTATTTAAATTACTTGAATCATGATTAATATGGCAGTTAGCTTCCATTATGATTATTATGCGCACAGCTTTAAAGCAGAATGCACAAATCCTAAGTGCTTACTTTTGTGCCGTGTTTTGTTAAATGTATAGTCCCGCGTACACATCCACTCCTAACAACAGAACCGTTGAAACTGAGCGCATACCGCCAAAAGTGAACAGGCCGACAACCGTCGAAGTGTGTTCTTTTTCATTTATAGCGAATTCTATCATCTTGGGCGGGAATAGAGATATGAGCAGTAATTGGTCGATGATAATCGATTATTTTTTCTTAGAAAAATCGATTATCTTTCCGATACTTTTTAAATTCGATTCTCCCTGTACTTGAAAGTTTTTGTGCTTCGATGTTACTAAATTTTATTACTAGACGCTTGCGTTCAGAAAATGCAACGATAGTATACAGTTGAATAATGACCGTATCAGACTGTGGATTAGGATTGAGATTGGATTGAAATTTAACCAATCAGAGTAAAGTTCACTAAACTCAAGTTTAGTGAATCTTGCTCTGATTGATCAAATTTTAATTCAATCTCAATCATAATCCGTAGTCTAATACGGAATTAACGATGGTTGCATTCAGAGGGAAAAAACAGTTCAGTGAGCGCTCAGTGATTATTATTTTTAACTGGAATATTCTTTTAGATTCTTGATAGATCTAAAAGTATGTATCAATCAAGAGCGATAATCACAGACGCCCCCTGAGTTGCTCTTTCCGCTGAATCCATCCAATTATGATCGCCATTTCATAGACGAATCTTATACATAAGGCCATCCTTTAACCTTTAACCAATCAAAGCAAAGTTCGTTAAACTCAAGGCCAAATTTGAACCCAATCAATTCCAATCTATAATCTGATACAGGCTTAAATTTATCTTCAAATGCTACACGATTCATTTCATTGGCTACGAAGCGTCTAAAGATGAACTTAAGACGGCTTTAAATGTAAGATCTGAATAACTATGAATACCAGCCATAGTCCGATTTCACCAAGTTAATCAAATCGACCGATTAAATTCAGTTTGTGCATTGGAACTGACCAATCGCATCTATCTAACAATGATGCGATTACTAGTTATAAAAAAATATATATTGTTACGTCCACGATAGATAACTATATAGGAAAATTTGAAAGTAGTGNACTCGGTGAAAAGCAGAGTGACCTAAAAGCGGAGTCATCACTCTGTTTTCACCGAGTTTACCTTGGGTCTCCGGAGTCTGGCGAAACGATCGATGAATCTGGTGAGAAATCAGAGCCGCTCGTTCTCCTGGCTCGGTCTCGGATGTTCCGGCGCTGCGCGGGATGATGCGGTCTGCGATTTCAATTTCGATTTCGCAACTTTCGAGAAATGAGGGGTAGACAAAAATAATTGTTACACAGTCGGATTTTACGACTAATATATTCCAAACCATATAAGTACACAAGTATCAAAAGCTAATCACGAGAAAAGAATCGTCTTCGCAACGAATGCGCGCGTTTTTATACGTTGCTTTGTCGCTGAGAGTCGTTTTCTGGTTGGCTGATGGAATCGTGCGACGCTGACCGCTCGTCCCGTGTTTCGCATCGTTTTCGGGCCGAAAGTGCGAACTTTCTCTGCGAATTATCGCGTCCGATGACAACGTCGAATGTGGGCCTCTTGTCTCGCGCGGCGAGTCTCGTCGTGGAAAATAACAAGCGCGGAAAGTGCGTCGGTCGGGAGTGTCGGGCAAGTGTCGTACGTTCGTCATATTCTTCATCGAAAAGGATTATCTCGCGTAATGGGCCGTCATCGGGAATATCAACACATCGCAGCGTCTTCGTCGGGTCGCAGCAGCGGAGTATTCAAATCCGGCCCTCGTGAAAAAAGTTTGTCGGTACCGACGTATTAATACGCGGAGGCCGCAACAGATGGCGCCTCTGCATGTCTTCGGTATGTTGAATCTAGCGTACTGTTCCTGAATTTATGTCCAGCAATCAGGGTCTGCTCAAGGTACGATAAACGGAACGTTATTATCTGAAGAGTCAAAGTGAAAAGAGCGGTAAAATTTAAGAAACAAAGTTACATTCTGTAGATCTCGAGATAAACGGAATTTTCTCGTGCGTGTTGACGATCGATATTAATGTCTACGATGAAATCTATTCAGATGACAAACCTTATCGTTAAACCTTAAAAAAAATTGATGCAGAAGAAAACAGTCGGTAATGTCGATAGTAACTGGCCCGGTCCATTATCCGGAACGTTATCGCGGGTCGATAGTTTCTTCAGAACCTTGTCGGTATGAAATCTAATATCCTAAATCCTGCTGTGCACTTTAAATTGATCTAAAGCAGACTTAACGAAAAGATAATAATTTACCACATGGATTACGATAAAAGTGTGTGAATTCGGTTGCGCTGACGGAGGTGATCGATTCTTCGATTGACTAGATTCGGCTTCCTGAATACTTTCATATCGCATTCACGATCTTCTCATCCAAGAACAGGAGAATAACAGTGACGTCAAAATAATATCAAAATGAAAGCGAGATAATGGTTGTAATACTCATTCTTCGATCATTTTTTCATTATTTTGACGTCATTCTCGTTATCTTTACTTTCTGTTCTGTCTGAGATCGTGGTGAATTTATCACGTTCGGTATCTTTGTACGATTCTTCCATTTATCATCGCGGGAAATTATACAAGTAGTGTGTAATACATATAAATACAGGTGAACATTTCTGTATGAACGTTTATTACAAACTGTAATCCTACTAAAGGTAACTCTCAATTAACATTACTCATTTGATATTTCCAAGGGTTTTCATAAGTCAAGCCAGGCATACAATCTTCTAACGTCACACAAGTTACTTCACACGATTTGTTGTGATTTGTAACAATTACTTTCTTCACATTAAACATTCTATACAGTGCCCTCCAATCCTCTTTCAGTGATTTTCTCACAGGCTGAAATGTCAAATAACTCCAGATACTCTACTGATATTTTGTCTATGCCCTAGGCGTCGTTATTTTTGCAATTCTTGATGCTAAGCCGTTTGAGATTTATGAGATTACTTATGTTACTCATAACTTTGTAATGCAGATCAAACCCATTGACATCTATTGCTTCAAGAATACAGTATGGTTCTTATATATTTGATAAATATGAAGTATCATACTTATTTGAATCCATCCAAGAATTGGAATCTTTGAACCTCACCATGTCCTTGCAATGTACAATAAAGAAATGTACAGCCCTCCGAAAACTTATCGACTCCGGTAACTTACTTACCGATCCCCGAAAGCATATCGACTTTGATAACTAACCGACACCCGGAAACTTATCGTCCACGGTAACTAATCGATCACCGGAACCTTATCGACCCCGGTAACTTACCATTACCCGACAGTTTATCGACTCAGGTAACTTACCGTTTCTCGGAAACTTATCGATCCTGGTTACTTACCGACTTCCAGAAATTTAAATTACCTACTATTGATCAGTTGATTTTGTGTCATTCACTCTTACTTGCTATTGATAATTAGTAATTGTGTTATCCACTCTTACCTACTATTGTTAATTTCTTACTGTGTTATCCACTGTTACTTACTTACTTATGTTACTTATAACCTAGCCTACTATTAATCATTTGATATTGTGTTATCCACTCTTACCGACAGAAAAAAAAACTGAGACGTCAAATTCTAACATTGAACGGCAGTATCGCTCTCTCAGGCGATTTGTATACATCTTGCTTCACGCGTCAATTTTTAACATCTCCGACGCGTTGTCACAGTGTTTTTGATACTTAGAAGATTAGAGGGGAATAACGCTGTCTAACCCGAGTAAAAAAAAAAATCGCATCACTGTCCTCGATCGCATCAGCCGAATCAGTGTGAGATGATGGATGAATTATATTCTTCTCTCTCGCTCTTATCTTCTTCTTATCTTCCTTTTCTCTCGCTCGGCGCACCGAGCTGAGCTCGAGAGACAGTGCCATCTGCCGCGACACGCCTGAACTAAAAATGAGCTCTTTTTTATCACACGACTCGTAAAAATCCTAACAAGCGTGTCGCTTATTCATAATTCGTATTTTGTCGTTTACACTATACATTGAAATTCTGTTATGATGGCCTTATAATGTTTTTGAAAGTCGTCGGAATTTCTCCCCAAATTCGTTTTACGTGCATGAACTTTTCATATAATGCGAAAATATAACGCAGTGCCGTATTTCCGATACAAAATAAAAAATTTTTTTGTTTGTTTTCGATGCGAATTTTTTATGTTCCAAAATTTATTAACATCTGTACTTTCACAATGCTATGAAAGCATTTATAATTCTATGCATGCATTTAGAAAAAAGAAAACGCGCGTAATATCGGTAACCGGCATCGCCTTAAGGACTTCTTTATGCGTACTTCAAACGCAAAACGAAGCAAATATTCAGACTCGTTATTTCGACTCGTTGATCGCCCATTGCGATCGCGAGAAAGTATCGCGTATGCGCTTGTGTATGCGCTTTGAGATGCAACGCATAATCCGCTCGATTAAGCTCCCTCCTTCTCGGTCCGTTGTACGAGGCGCGTTCGACTCTAATATGTTGTTAAATCTACGAATCTCTCCGTTGCGCTAGTTGTAGCATAAAATGAGTTTGTTTAAAAAAAAAATTCCTTGAAATTTGTTTTATATATAGATTTAAATATGATCGAATTATTGACGCAATTGAGAAACAATTGGCGATTCGGGAGCTGAGATATTCGTAACCAAGGATGACACTTTTTATACGTATAGTACAAAATTTGGTGTTAAATTTAACACATTCCATATATATCCCAAACGTTCCATTCAACTTATTATATTAATTTCACACAAGGCGAATATGTTGAAAAGTTATATAAATATTATTTAAAAAATTAACATAAAACTAGTACGTTAATCGACACTGTGAAGTGTAAGATGTATTATTTTAACACTTACTATTAAATATCTACACAACACAAAATGTTGAAATAACATAAACAAATATGTTAAATTAACGCACGAGTATGTTAAAAATTTAATATACAAAAGTGTTCACAAGGACCGACTTTAGCACAAGTACGAAATATTTTTTACTATTCCGTATTCCTTGAAATTAATATACTATTTT